GAAAGTAGGTGATGGGGTCAGGATGGAGTTGAGGTGTCCAGGCTCTTGAACCTGCCTCTTAATCACGGTGTCTCTCTATGGACTGCACACCATACCTCTAATGAGGATGAGGAATTCTGCTGTTACACCTGGTTGTCTGAAATAAAGCAGAAGGAATCCGGCTGGCTTGAGTGTTCCAGCTTGCTAAGGAAGCTATGCCATTCAAGCCTCTCTAAATGGTGCGGTGTGTTCCTGGGAGCATCCTTGAGGGGCCAGGGGGTGCTGCGCTGATGGGGGAAGATGAGTGTCGAGAAGTGGGGAGGCCAGCTTGTGTTCTTTATAGGCTCAGAGGAAGGGTCCTGGCTGGAGGACTGAAGGGGCCCCAGGGGTTAAACATGTGCTCTTCTGACCCTGGTGTGACCCAGGTGTGCATCTCACTGCTGGGCCTGTCCAGCCCTGACACATCTGCAGAAAGCACTATTGGTGGGAAGAGACCTGGGCCACCCTCTCCAGTTGTGTCCAAAGAAGGAGGATGGGTCTAAAGGTGGGAAGCATATCCTGTTCATCTTTGTTTTTTGAGGTGGAGTTTCACTCTTCTTGCCCAGGCTGGAGTGCAATGGCAGGATCTCAGCTCACTGCAACATCCACCTCCCGGGTTCAAGTGATTCTTCTGCCTCAGCCTCCTGAATAGCTGGGATTACAGGTGTGCACCACCACCCCCAGCTAATTTTTGTATTTTTAGTAGAGACGGGGTTTCACCATGTTGGCCAGGCTGGTCTCAGACTCCTGACTTCAGGTGATCCACCTTGGCCTCCCAAAGTGCCAGGATTACAGGTGTGAGCCACCATGCCCAGCCTCCTATACATCTTTATATCTTACACAAGAGAGGTGTTGAATCCACATAGCAGATGCTTAGCAAGGGCCTGCTATGTTCCAGGATATGTACTAGATGCTGCGGTAGTGAACCATGGCATGGCCCCTGCCACATGGAGCTTTCGGTCTAGGATCCTCAATGGAGGAGCAGCTGAAGGTTGTAGGCACTCTAGGGTTGGGGCTGGGATGGTAAAAGGGCTCAGAAGTTCAGAGACCTCCAAAGCTAAGCCATACAATTTGACTGGGATGGGCTTGTTTTCTTGAAAGTGTTTTCAGACAACTAGAAGCTGTTCCTAGTGGCAATTTGTCCACAAGAACTTATGCAGTGCATTTTAGAGCTGCGCTACAGTGAAGGAGACCTCGCCCAGGCTGGCTTCCCCCAGGGAGCCAGAAGCGGAGCTCTTCAGTGAGAATTTGGATAGTTCTTTTTTAGGACCAGCAGAAATGATGCTCAGAATAGGCTCGTTCCATTTTCAGAGTCACTTTGGGATCTACATTTAATTTTCTCCATGCTACAGGCACTCAGATGGAGCTGAAACCTTGCACTGAATTAGGAAGAGAAGAAAGTCATTGGTGGGTCTGGAGCCCACAGACGTGATTTGCTGCTGGGACAATGAATGGAGGCAGCTGCGCTCCTCCCCATGGTCGCTCACGCTTCCATGGACAGCAGCTCTCTGTAGTGTAAGCATTGGATGCTCAGCTGATGTTTGGCCTTAGGGTGCAGGCAGACTCATGTCCCCATCCCTTCAACAGATGTGCTCTGAGTGGGAGCAGCCTCCCTGTGTCAGGGGCGTGTCTGTCTCCTGTTCATGCAAGCAGTCCTGGGAGTGCAAGGGCAATGCGGACGAGAACTGCTCATTTTCTTCACATTTCCTTTAAGCTCCAAGACCCCCATGCGCTCTCCACATCAGGTTTAATGCAATTCACATGAACTTATGGATGAGCAGGGCAGAATTCCGAAACCAGCCCTTCCACGCGGTCACTTCTCCTGAGCTCCAGCCCTCTGTTCCTAGTTGCTGCAACACGTCTCAACCATCACGTCCTCTGTTTCCTCCACCATCACTTGTTTAGGGTCTTCTCTGTGCCAGGCCTTGCTAGTGGTGAGGAATAAAGAGAAGAGCTAGCCCCGTGTCGGATCAAATGGCCACCTCCTGCCTCTGCTGGACCAAGCATTCCTTGCTCCACAGCGAGTTCTCAGCACCGGGGAGTTAGAACATCGTAGGTGCTTAGGAAATATTGTCGCATGCATGTTGGATAAAGGAAACACCTGTCTTCAAAAGGCTTTGGGCAGACTGGGGAAGCGGAGCAGTGAAGCACTAACTGCAGCTCGCCCGGCACAAGCGTTAGGATGGAGGCGAGTGAGAAGCTGTGCTGGGGGAGACGGGCGTTTGACTACGTCTGACTGTGGGACTCAGGGGCTGCTTCCAGGAGGAGGCAGTGCTCTGATGTTCACTCTGATGATAGTTTATTTTGCTCTGTAGAAGCTCTTTAGTTTAATTAGATCCCATTTGCCAATGTTGCCATGCCTCCAAATTTCTATGGAATCCTATCTGTCTTTCAAGGTCATTGTGAGACTCCGCCGTATCTGTGAATCTTTTCCCAAGTCCCTGATGAAACCATATTCTAGCCCTTCCCTCCTCCTGCAGCACTGTGCCAGCCTCCCTGCTGAACTGGAGGGTGATGGCTCCTTATCAAAGCTACTGGCAGTACCGAGGTGCTAATCCATGTGTAAGGCCTAGGGCATTTAGACAGACCTAGACCCTGGCAACCAGTACCCGCAAAGTCCTAGAGGGAGCCCTACAGGAAGAACAGAGGAGGAAGCAGAGTCACTTTTGCTGGTAGCTGGGTTTGGACCACAAACCCATGCAGAGAACTGGGGTTGGCTGGGCTGAGCATGGGGGTCTTGTTCTCCCCAGATCTCTGCTCTTCTTGTGCTCTGGCCAGCCACATGGAAGGACAAGGAACTGCCTCAGCCTGGGCCAGTGAAGCGCATCTCCTCTGCTGGGTGAACAGAGACCCTCTGCAGCCACATCTTCAGCTCATCTTTTATGCATAGTGACCACACCCACTTCCAAATATGTCAGTCAGTGTCCTGAAATCTGACCAATCAGATGAATGCTCTTCTTCCTTGGGTCAGAGTGAAACGGGAGATGAGGGAGTCTTGAGATCTTCGCATCCTGCCTTTGAAGTCCCGCAGTACCCAGCACAGTGCTGAAGCCAGAGTGAGAGCAACAGGGAATTGCTGAGTTAATTTGAAACCCATACTGCTACCGTGAGGCTGGGTCTGCCCCTCACCTCGGAATCCAGGACCTGGAACTTCTAAACAGGGTGAGAATTGAATCAGAGTGCTGCTGTCCCCTCGGCTGCTAGGTGTCTCATCCCTCTGCCTGCCTCTGTGAGAGTGCACATGGACGGCAGAGCTCAGTGAAAACCAATGACCCACGGGGCTTAGGGGATTCAGAGGAGGTGCCTGTCAAGGTTCACTCCCAGAGATTCTGGCACTCTGGAAGGCCACAGAGGAAATAGATATAGCAAGGCAACATGTGATGCGAGGGGGAAGAAAAGCCTGAGAAACAGAACAAATTGGGACAAAAACATTGTGAAGCAGAAATACATAGGCTGTGATGGTGTATGCGACCCTCTCTGCTTCGGAAGGAAGACAGTAAGAGAGGGGGAAGGGAGGAGGAGGCAGCTGCTAGGATCGGCATAGGACCCTGCGTGTCAAAAAGGACTTTTAGGAGATGTGCTGATCAGAGGAGCTGAAATCCCTCATTCGGATCTGCATTACCAGAGCCTGTCCCAACCCTCTCTCCTGAAGCAGGTGGTCTCACTCCCCCCACAGCTGCTGCCCATGGCATACAGGCGGTGAGGGAATGAAGTTTGGCTTGCTGCATTTTTTGTGGGGTAGAGTTTGGGCCAGGGCTGCCTGTCTCCCTGACTCTGGGGTCAATTCTCATCTTGCCTTGAGATTCCAGGTTTGAACTCTGAAGCGGAGGACAGCTTTGTTCTCATGATCCTGGGCCAATAGACAGAGGCCTGGTTTCCAACTGTGGCTATCAGAATACGGTCTGTAGGTGGATTTGTTCTTGTGCAAGGAATAGCCCGCACAGGTGGCCGGGTGGAAGTGTTCATGTGCACTCTGCATAGAGGCTGGTGCCTGCTGGGAAGTCTAGGTCACCGTGAGGTTCCGCGATTCTGTGTTTGAAGCAGATAGAGTCGGATCCTGGTTAACTTTGGGCTCCTTCTTTGTCCTCCAGACGTCTTTGGGGGTTGTAATATCTATTCTACTAGTTTCCTGAAGAGCGAGCTGCCTTTAAATTTTATATAGTAAAATCCTAGGATCATTTACATTTCCCATATGGAACTTTGTATTTTTGGATCTCAACTGCATGCTCCTTTCTTTCCCCTCCAAATAAGTCTCTTGTTTGAGGAGTTTTTAATGCCAGAACTTGAGGGGCTTACTCTTTGAGTAAGTGTGTTTGTATTTCCTTGTGTTCACCTGGTTACTAGTTATCATGGATGGGAAACTTTGAAGGCCGTGGGTTTTGATCTTCAGAATGCTTCCATCAGCATTATTTCGTGTAAGCCTCACCTCCCCACCTCCGGGAGAGAAGTTGGGTGGGGTTTTATTTTTATCATCCCTTTTTTCCGCAGATGGGAACATCGAGGCACAGATGGGCTAGGGCACACGGAGAGTCAGGGCAGAGCTGGGATTAGAACCTGGACTCTCCACCAAATGCTGTTCCCCGGAGACCCCAGCCAGGAACGAGGATATATATGCTCTAGCGTCAGGGTGTACAGTCCCGTGTTTGTCTTCTCATCAGCCCATAGCTGTGGCACTGTGGGTGTAATGCGCGTGGCCCAGGAAAGCCAGGGATTCCCAGAGCAGGAACCTCAGACTCCTGCCAAACATTATCCCATGGGAGGGGTCACTTCTGGGGAGGGGGTGTCTAACCCACAGGGAGAAAGGGCCCCTGCAGGCTCTGCGCGCCGGCGCCCATGCAGCCCTGCCCACGGATCACTGCCTCCTGGACTGAGTGAATTGCTCTGTGACCGACAGCCTAGCAGTCCCTTTGGTGATGCGCCCTTCCTTCCACTTTCTCTCCCTTTTGTCAGCCCGGGCACCCTCTGGGCCTCCAGGCTCTGCAGGCCGCCTCCGCCGCCGATTCCGCAGTTGGCCACAGGGTGGCGCCCGCGACGTGCGGGCCGGGCCTTGGCTCTGGCTGGGACGGCGCGTCCAGTCTGCGTGCGGCCTCGCGGACCCCCAGCCGGCAGCGGGGCCCCTGGGGCGCCTTCCGCGAGCCTGGGGGCCAGGCGGAGCTAGACGAGGCTCAGGGTCACTTACAGAGAGATAGAGGTGGGTGGGTGGGGGCAGGGGAGGACGCTCAGAGCTCTGGCAAGGCAGTGGTTCTGTCCCCCAGGAGGGAAACCCTCTCGGGGTGGAACGGGCTGAACGGGCACCTTGGAAGAGCAGAGGGGAAAATGGTCTCTGCCAGCAGACGGAGTGATCTGGGGAGTGGGGGGCGTGCGGCGGGGTGTCTTCCTTATCGATTTAACACAGCACTGACTGCGTGCCAGGTGCTTCACAAATGTTAACTCATTTAATTCTCAGGACAAGCCGCAGACGCCGTTTTACAGCGGAGGACGCTGAGGCACAGGTTACCTAGTAAGTAGCAGAGGCCGGACTTTACCCCGAGCAGCCCAGCTCTCCTGCGGCCTCCCCTCCTTCCCCACAGGCCGGGTAGAGGACGCTGGGGAGGCAGGTGTACACCCTCAGCGTTTATGGCCTCCTTCACGAGCTCATTCGTTCTCTCAACACGTGTCGGCGTGGGGCTTCCTGCCGCCCGGGTGTGGCGCTTGCACCTGGTCTACCACGGTTCGTGAAGCCAGCCACAGTCCTTGTCCTTGTGGAGCTGGTGGGGGAGACGGAGATTCGTCAGCGAATCACACTAACCAGGAACGCGCTCTCCCAGCCTCTTCCTCCTGCTCTGCTCTGTCCCTCCTGTCCCAGGCCCACTGGCTTGTCTGGCCCAGATGTGTCTGCTGAGATGCTAGCTCAGAGCTGAAGGGTGGACGGTGACTCGACGGAGCTGCACAGCCCTTGGGGACTCCCAAGGTGGGCTACATTCATTGTCTTTTCGGTATTGTCCAGGACAAGCTTCTGTGAGTCCCTTGGGGAGACAGGCTTTTTAGAAGGAGTGGGTGGTTCAATTCGGAGAATGTTCTGGAGAGACTGGAGGGAGTCTTTGGTTTCAAATGGGATCTGAATCCTGGCTATCACCTGCTTGGTGGTGCTTGCTGATTTCTGTGACCCATCTGTTGGTAGATTTCAAGCTACCAGTGAGCTACGACAGAGCAAAGAGTTGGGGGTAGAAGCACAGAAGTCTTTCACGCCGCTGTGTGGCACGCTCCGGCACTTTGCCAGCAGTTTCTTCCTAGTGTGACCTAGGCAAGTGATTTCACCATTGTAACTTCACTTTCTTCACCTGTAAAACGGGCCAACACCACCTCTCCCAGGCTGTTGGCATGAGGATTAAGTGACAGTCTTTTCCCCCCGCTTATTATACCCAGCTTATTCAATTCTTAGAATGGCCTTACACATTCTGATTATTTAGTTTTATGTCAGTTTTTCCAATGAACTGTGAAGTCCTTGAAGTCAGGGACCATGTCGCATTTCTCTTTGTATCCCCAATGTCTAGTACAGAGCTTGGCACATAATAGGCACTCAATAAATGTGACCCTTTGAAACCCAAAGCTATGGTCCTGTGTGCGCTGAACTTGTGGTACCTCTCACGCGGGCTGTCTCTGTGAGCCTGGCGGGGGAGGGTGGACCTGCAGACCCTTGCATGGATTCTTCCCAAGGAGCCTAGGTGGCTGGGTGAGATTTCAGCGTTTCAAAGTCCCTCCTGGGAGCCACGTGCCGTCTGAGGGCCGGCTCTCGGAGGATCACGCTGAGCACGTGCCCTGGGCACCTGGAGCCCCCTGCACTGGCCTGTAGATTGTAGAGAGGGATGGTGAGGGGGTGGGGGCTGTGTCACAGACATGAGCAGCTTTCTGGCTTCTTCTAGCTTCCCAAAGTTTCTGGAACACTGTGCAGGGAACTCCAAGGTAATGACATCATCACCCAAACCTAAAACTTATGCCTATACATGGGAAAAGGAGCCACCATGGCCCGCTCCCCATGAAGCATCGAATCCATCATCAGTCCTGCCAGCCTTAGCTCAGATACAGTTTGAAAACCTCCCTGTGAGCTCCTACTGCTGAGATGGGCCCTCCCCACATCTTCTGTGTTCTCTGACACCTCAGCTGCTGCCAGAGGTCCCCACTTGGTACCACTCCCTGCCCCCATGAGTTGCATGCCCTTGTACCCCTGCTTCCCTTCCTGTTATCTAGCCATTCCTCTGTCTCTAGGGCTGTCTCTGAATAAAGGGCTGCATGGCCTGGGGAGCAGAGAAAAGAGCTGCAGGGAGGCTGTCTGCCCTCTGCAGGAGGCTGCAGCAGCCATGCTCTTTCTCACTTTCCACACTGTTTGCTTCTCACCACCCGTGCTAGCTCCTCCCCACAATATTTTCTCGGTGGAGGATGCAAATGCTGTTCTCCAGGATGGGCCTGGGGCATCTTGCATCTCCAAGCCCTATAGGTTTCTTCACCCAAGCAGTCCATTCCCCTTCTCCCTCCTCTGCCAGGATACTGACCAGGTGTCTTAGACCCCTCTTGCCCTTTGGACACTGTGTTCCATTAATCTACGAGTCCTGCTGAGCCCACCCTCACTGTTGATTAACTGTGTGCTCTCCTCCCTGTACCCATTACCACTGTTTTCTCTGGTCAGTTCTTACCCAGATTACTGCTGTGAGTTTTTGTTTTTGGTTTTGAGATGGAGTCTCACTGTGTTGCACAGGCTGGAGTGCGGTAGCGCAATCCCAGTTCACTGCGACCTCCACCTCCTGGTCCATATTGCTGTGAGTTCTTAATGGGGGCCTCGTGTCCTTAGTTCTTCACTATCTTCTACATTTAAGTATGTTCTCCAATGTAAATCATTTGTTTATTCTTTTCTTTCATCAACAAAGGTGCCAGGTACCGTCCCAGGCATGGGGAGATGGCTGTGAGGAAGATAGACAAGATCTCAAGTGTCCTTGGGGCACCTCTGTCCCACCGCCTTCTGGGGTTTCCAGAACCATGGGGCTAAGGCACACATCCCTCAGTTGGCGTTTGGAGCATGTCAGTTTCAGCCCTAGACTCTTTGCAGCCCCCGTTTTCCATCACCTGCCTATGAGCTCAGCTCTGGCCTTGCTGACTACTCTGCCTTCTCTAAACACACAATGTAATGTCTGAGGTGTGGAGTGCCCTTCTTTGCCTTCTCCATCCACTCCCCGGCTTCCAGCTCCAACACATCCTGCACAGTGCCTTGCACATGGCTGGTGCTCCCTAACAAGCATTGACTCAAATGGGACTGATGGACTGGGAAAGGCAGAGGAGGCCCTCTGCAAAACTGAGCTCAAATCCTTGGTTCTAACCACCTGCAGTCCTGGGGTTGCCTCTTCATTGCCTTTGTCCAAGCTTTAATCAAAGTAGGATTCTGTTTGCCTGCCTAGAAATTATCTTGGTGAAATTGTCTTGGCGAGTTACTGTTGTTAGAAGCCGACTTTGCTATATCCGTAACACTTCTTGAAGAACTTAAAGTCCTTGTGATATGGTTTGGCTCTGTGTCCCCACCCGAATCTCATCTTGTAGCTCCCATAATCCCTGTGTGTTGTGGGAGGGGCCAGGTGGGAGATCATTCTGGAGCTTTAAGATTTGACTGCTCTGCTGGATTTTGGACTTGCGTGGGGCCTGTAGCTCCTTTTTTTTTGGCCAGTTTCTCCCATTTGGAATGGCTGTATTAACCCAGTGACTGTACCTCCACTGTATCTAGGGAGTGACTGACTTGCTTTTGATTTTACAGGCTCATAGGTAGAAGTGACTTGCCTTGTCTCAGATGAGTGTGGACTTTTGAGTTAATGCAGAAATGAGCTGAGACTTTGGGGGACCATTGGGAAGGCATGATTGGTTTTGAAATGTGAAGATATGAGATTTGGGAGGGGCCAGGGGCAGAACGGCATGGCTAGGCTCTGTGTCCCCACCCAAATCTATCCTGTAGCCCTCCTAATTTCCATGTGTTGTGGGAAGGACCCAGTGGGAGATAACTAAATCATGGGGGTGGGTTTCTCCTGTGCTGTCCTCATGATAGTGAATGGGTCTCACAGGATCTGATGGTTTTAAAAAGGGGAGTTTCTCTGCATAAGCCCTCTTTTTGTCTGCTGCTATCCACATAAGATGTGACCTGCTCCTCCTTGCCTTCCACTGTGATTGCGAGGCTTACCTAGCCATGTAGAACTATAAGTCCAATAAACCTCTTCCTTTTGTAAATTTCCCAGGCTCAGGTATGTCTTTATCAGCAGCATGAAAACGGACTAATACACCTTGTCATGAGAGTATGATTGTGGCTGGGCATGATGGCTCATGTCTATAATCTCAGCACTTTAGGAGGCCAAGGGAGGAGGATTGCTTGAGCCCAGGAGTTCAAGGCTGTAGTGAGCTGTGATTGTACCACTGCACTCTAGCCTGGGTGACAGAGACCCTGTCTCTTAAGAAAGTAAACAAAAAAAGTCAGGGACGAAGGGAAAAGGACACTGGTGACACCCCTCTGGCTGGGAAACTTTATCAGCCAAACGCACACACTGAAGGCTGAATTCCAGCTCCGTACTTTAGGTTACTTCCCTCTAGGCCTTATTTTGATCCACTTCTGAGAACTAAAGGAGACAACTCGTGTGAACAAGCTTAGAACAGTGCCTGTATGGTCAGCGCTTGGTAAACGTTGGTGAGACACAAATCCAGACTCCTCAGAGCAGCCTGGAGGAGGGGCCGTCACAGGTCACAGTGCCCTATCTGCCATTCTGAAGTCCCCAAATCTCCAGATTCTGAAGTTTTCTATTTCTTTGCAAGGAACTTTTTTGGTTGCAAATTCTGACCTGAGATGACGCTGGCCCGTTTATAGTCTTTATTGGCGTGACTATTCATGCAGTTCTCTGCAGAACTATTAGGCTGTTTAATCATGAGACGCCAGCCCAGACCCCATCGGGGATTACAGAGCGTGAAGTACACGCACTCCAGTTCTCTCTAAGAGAGTTCCGAAATGCATCTGGATCCAAGGGTTTCTGATAGGGGATTTCAGACCTGCTTTAGGAAGTCTGTCAGATAAAACAAACTTTAGGAAGTGAGAGACTCAGAAGTCTCTGAGTTTTTTGTTTGTTCTTTTAAAATTATTATTATTATTATTATGTTTCAAACAGTCTCTAGGAATTCCTTGAGTTTTAAGAGGGATTTGTCATGGTCTTTGAAGAAGGTGCCTTGAGTAATATAATTGTAAGATTCATTCATCCAACAAATATTTATGGTGGTTTAAAAATAAGGCAGATCAGGTCGGGCACAGTGGTTTACACCTGTAATCCCAGCACTTTGGGAGGCCAAGGCGGGTAAATCACAAAGTCTAGACATCAAAACCAGCCTGGCCAACATGGTGAGACCCTGTGTCTACTGAAAATACAAAAATTAGCCAGGCATGGTAGTGCGTGCCTGTAATTCCAGCTACTCAGGTGACTGAGGCAGGAGAATTCCTTGAACCCAGGAGGTGGAGGTTGCTGCTACTGCACTCCAGCCTGGGTGACAGAATGAGACTCTGTCTCAGAGAGAGAGAGAGAGAATATGAGAATGAGCAATTATCTTCCTCTCTGGGCCTCGGTGTCCTCATACAAAATGGTAATAATGGTAGCCAATACTCACCGAGCACTTGCTAGCCACTAGGCAGGGTTCTAAATCCATCACATGTTATTTTATGTAGCTCATTTAATTTTCACAACAACCTTGTAGGTTGTAATTTTCCCACTTTGCAGACGAGGTAACTGTGGCACCAAGGTCATCCAGCAAGTGTGGCTCTGAGCTTTGAACCTAGGCAGTTTGGCTTCAGAATGCAAGTTCTAATAATAGTAGTTCCTTCTCTTCCCTTTTCCTTTTCCTGGTAACTGCTGAAAAGCCAATTACTATTCACTCTCATTTCTTTCTTTTTTTTTTTTTAGACAGAGTCTCACTCTGTTGACCAGGCTAGAGTACAGTGGTGCAATCTCAGCTCACTGCAACCTCTGCCTCCCGGGTTCAAGGGATTCTCCTGTATCAGCCTCCCAAGTAGCTGGGACTACAGGCATGTGCCACCACGCCTGTCTAATATTTGTATTTTTAGTAGAGACTGGGTTTCACCACGTTGGCCAGGATGGTCTTGATGTCTAGACCTCGTGATCCTCCCACCTTGGCCTCCCAAAGTGCTGGGATTACACGCTTGAGCCACTGTGCCCGGCCTCTCATTTATTCTTTTAAATAGCTCCACTCCTTCTTTAGCTAACTGAGGCTGTGAGGGTCAGTTGCCTTTTCTTCTGCTCTTCATCTGCCTATCCATTTACCTGTCCCTTTGTCCTTGGGCAAGATCAATACAATGTAAGCAGTGACAGGGATGCCACTTACCAGCTGTTAGCTGCTCACCTCTCTGAACATCAAGTCACTCAGCCGTATAAGATAGCATGCCTAATATTTGCCATACAGACTGCCTGTGAGTATTAAATGAGCTGTTTTATGTACGATGTCTAGCCTTGAGTTCATATTGCTCTATGTAGTTCAAATAGACATCATTATGTTTTTCAAAATTCCGATTTCACTAGTGTTCCCACATTCACATTTACCCCAAATCAGTCATGATTTCATTTTTTGAAAACTTCATCCCGCTGTACCCTGGGACAAGCGAATCCTCCATGTGTTGAACTAACAAAGGAGCTGATGTCCACTTTGGCCACCCTGCCTCCCCATGTTCAAGGGAGCCATCTGGCTGTCGGACAGCAGAGATTCGGGCCCCATGGACTGGCTTAGTCTCCATCCCTTCCTGAACTTGCTGTGACAATGCTGGGCTGCTGCTTCCTGGAAGAAGCAGGTAGGAGGCTTCAGATGTGGCTGTCCCTTCCTTTTACAGGGAGGCAGCAGCAGGGAGAGCTTCGGGAGAAGCTGCGTTGGACTGGTCCTGGGGCCAGCTGCAGTATGTATCGGCTTCTAGGGAGTGTTCCAACAGCGAGGCCAAGGGCAGTGTTTAGAAAGTTCTAGTTCCCTGTGCTTCTGATCCTGGACATGGGGCAGTGGGGGGAGGCAGACAGCCTTGAGCCAGAGAGAGCTTGGCACTCAGGCTCCTGCCATCTGGGTTGTGAGTGCTGTGTGTGTATGCGTGTGTCCCTGTGTGTATGTCTGTTCATAGGCAGACTCTCCAGCCAGATGTCAGAAGATCTCAATTCAGGTTCAGGGGAGTTTCTGATAAACTGTCTTCCCAACCACACCCCCAATCATGCCTTCTTCCACCTGTTAAAATGTAGAACTAGATTATAGTTCAAAAGAAGTCGAATTTCCATACATTTATTGCCTTTTATCTCTGATACCTGGTAATACATTCTAAGAATACAGTCCCTATTACATAATTATCATCAACAGCAAAAAGAAGGAGCAGGCTAACACTTAAGACAGATAAACAAAGGCTCAAGCTCTGCTGCAGTCCCTTCCCCACTGCCCCGGGATGGATGCTGACATTTCCGGATCTCTCTCTGCAGTGTGGGATCAGGAGGGCACGTGGTGAGCTGCAGTGTAGCTCAGGAGTCCAGGCTGCCAGCAGCCCCCAGCCAAGGCTGAAAGCTGAGTTTGGCTAGCTTGTCTTCATTGGAAGGGTTCTCTTCCCAAGAACGCAGAGGCAGGAGTGCCCCCAGATCCCATGCGGAGACTGTGTTGGAGCATCTAACTGTACTATTAATGCAGCTGGGGAGGAGTGAGCCATTGCTGCTGGGGTTTAGGGAGCAGAGAGTTTGCCCTATGGGTGAAAAATCGGGTGGCTGTTCTTATGAACAGTAAGGCTTGTGACAGTTTGACCTTGAAGGTGTGACTGTAGAAAGAACTTGCAATGACTGAACATTGCTTGATTACCCTGGCACCCTCCTGAGCTCTGAAGATCCCAAGGTTCACTCCTTCAACAATCATTTGGTGAGCACTTACCTGCAACAGGTGCTGCTCTGGGAGCCGGAGTCACAGTAGCAGGTGGGACAGAATCAGTAATGCTGTTGTCATCGAGCTTGCCTTCTAGTGGTGCTGGACAATGGACAAGTGAAATACATAGCATACTAGCTGGAGAGAAGCGCCTGGAGAAAAATATGGGGTAGGAAAGGAGTTCTGGGGGAAAAGTTGTACAGCTTTACATGGGGTGGCCAATAACAGCCTCACCGAGAAGATGTCATTTACATGACACCTTAAGTGGGGGAGGGAGTGAGCCTTGTGGATATCTAGAGATAGAGCAGAACAGGGGAAGCTATGGCAGGTGCAAAGGCCCTGTGGTAGGGGAGGCCAGGTGGTAAAAGGGAGACAGGTAGGAGATGGTACAGGAAGAGGGGTGAGTCATGCAGCACTGTGTGGGCTGCCTCAAAGCTGGACAGTTGCTAGCAGCGAAGCGACTTCAGGTTTTACAGGATGCCAAAGAGAGACTGAAACACTGTTTGGCCTCCAGCTCTGGGGGTGTGGTGGTGAGATGGTTCCTCGAGGGAAGGCCCAGGTGTACCAGAGGATACTTCAACTTGGGTCTGAGCGTGGAGAAACATATGGATGGAATCATCAGGCAGCAGGGGAGGGAGGTTGGGGGAGGCTTTGAAATAAACTTGAAAACACTCCTGACAAAAAGACAAGTGGCTATGAAAACTGCAGTGTGCACAGTACCATTCCGTTTATGTAAAATACACATGCATGTATGTAAGAGGTACTCGTGGTGTGTGGAAACTGGTCATTAAAGGCAGGCACTGGTTATTTCTGGATGGCAGGTTTCAGAGGATCCTTTTTTTCCAAATATATTTCTGTATTGTTTACATATTTTTAAATTCTTACCAGAAGCAGGTATTATTTATAGAGCTAGAAAAAAAATTCAGTAGAACCACTTTCTTTTTTTTTTTTCCTTGAGATGGAGTCTCGCTCTGTCTCCCAGGCTGGAATGCAGTGGCACGCTCTCAGCTCACTTCAGCCTCTGCCTCCTGGGTTCAAGCGATTGTCCTGTCTCAGTCTCCTGAGTAGCTGCATTACAGGCATGTGTCACCACACCCAACTAGTTTTTGTATTTTTCATAGAGATGGGGTTTCACCATGTTGGCCAGGCTGGTCTCGAACTCCTGACCTCAGGTGATCCACCCATCTCGGCCTCCCAAAGTGTTGGGATTACAGGAGTGAGCCACTGTGCCCAGCCAGTAGAGCCACTTTCATGGTGGAAGAATGAATGCGTGTTTTGTTCTGCTGATACATTCAATCTTCTCAGGCCCTTAAGTGACCAACTCAAAAACAGGACGGAATAGTTGGATGGGGATG